AAGCGTTATCGCAAGTATATCATGCTCTCAGAATCCTTTTTTTTTCTTTTGTCTGACAATATATTAATTGTTGTAATGACTATTAATTGATTCATTTCTCTTCTTCGAAGTGATCAACAGACAGTAAATCGTACACATGAAAAAGATTAGACAAGATAAATGTGTTATAAAATTCAATATGAACTTGCAGTATTCTATTTTATCCATTCTTCAAATAAGTATGTAACTTGGCTTTTTTCACTACAATTTCAATTAAGTTTCCTTAGATCTTTACTACGACAGATAAGTTTCATAGAATCTTAACAATTCTGTAATAAAATAATCAATGTCAATAAACTATTCAATTTTATTCAATCAGGACTAACCATAGGGACAATACTATTCTTGCCATCATCGAACAAAGTTAGAATGACCCATAAACGATAATTCAAATAGCAGAAGATTGGTTATTATAATCAGAAAATACACATGGGTGGGCATATTCATATGAAAACATTCACTTTTAGTATCTTCGAAATGGGTCGCATTATGAAATTCTATTTGCTATTTATAGAGCTCTATTGAATTTAATGAACTAACAATAGTCATTGGAAAGTAACTGATGGATATCAAGAATTCCAAAATCAAAGTCCAGAAACATAACTAGAATTATAAAATTCAAATTGAACTTGATTGTTAATAAAAAAAAAAGAATTAATTTCACGGATGTTACTCAATAATTCAAGTGTATTATGAAATCGATGTGAAATTTGTATCTACCTTTTCACGTTGATTTTGTTCCACCAATTGAGATTCCCTAGTTTGATCGTTTATATCAACAATTATAGCCGCTGTCTCGATTTCAGGTTCCATCTGATACTGGTCACAAACAGTGGCATACATATATATAAATATATATATATTTTTTTTGAACAGCGGTCAAACGGCATTCAACAATTATAATCGATCAAATCAATGCAAAAAAGCGATTGGCTGTTCATTGAACGACAAATTCAACATATGTTTTATCTCTTAGTTTTATTTTTTTAAATCTTATTGCAATTATAATAAAGAGATTTCAATCCAATTGAATCTAGTAAAATAACATCAAATACATATTACTTAAGAATAAGTTAATCTAATGTCATCTTTTGACATAACTCTTAAAATCAGTTCGTTAAGGAATAAGAAGCTCTTTTCTTTAAATTTTCATTGTTCACCACTTGGAATGTGTCTCTTATGAAAAAGGTGAACGACAAAACACGAACTACTTTATGGAAACATCGATGAATGCTAAAAGTGTCAAAGAAAAGATCTACGTTTCGAGAAACCTATCACAAGTCATCGTCATCTTTGTCTATCATCGATTGCTAGTAAAACTAATATGAACAATCAATTGATATTGATCTGTCAGTGCAAGAAAAAACTCTGAAAATTTATGCCATTAGATTCGATATCAATTTATAATCCATCGGCGATAAATTGTATATTTTCGACTTGAACGAATCTCCACACATGTGTAAATGCTTGCAATAATTTTCTTTATCTTCCTATTGCTTTATCGAATATCGAATTTCAAAGAACTGACATTATTTCTTTCGATAATAAGAATCGGACCAACTTATATCGTAAGTATTGACTTTTGTACGATGAAATTCTTAATCATATACTAACGGCTAAACAAACCTATGCTCAAAATAAAGACTATTATTCATAAGGCTAATACTGAAATTGTTCTTCCATTAAATGATGATGTTCAACGTAGTTTCATCAAGTTGATTCTTATATTATTCAACAATCTATTTCGGGCAAAAATTGAATGTTGTATCGATTCAGTTCAACATCCATTTGATATTTTTCTTCATCTGATCAGCAGTTTTCCTAGTGAAAAATTATTGCTGAAGATTTTCATTTCCTCGTGTTTTAAGATCGAAGAACAAAAGAATCTGTCAAATTCCTAATTTATATCATTTTCTTGCACTGTATATGCTATCTTGGCTGCATTTACGACTTTGTACCATAAATATTCGTTTTCTATTCAATTCAAAAAAAGAAATCAGTTGCAGAAGAATTCTGACATTGTACGTTTGACCAAACAAGCATTGATGTCTATATTCGAATATGGTTGTGAATGAAAAATAGCGAAATTCCATTTTCGAGAAATCTTCCATTTAATAGACATGATCGTTATCTCCAGTTTTTTCTTTCCTAGAACTAAATGAACAAGTTTGACTAATTCCATGTGATATCTTAACAATCACATCTACTCAAACAACAAATCATAGATGTACTGTTCGTTTGGTTTAGTATGTTTCCTGTTCTGATCATGTGTACATACTGGGAAACATGTTATTCTTCTCAAATTGCGACAAGAAAAAGAAAGTGACTAGCAGCTGAGTTATAATACTGGATGAGTCGAATGAAACACTATTATATCTTTGTTGGCAATATTCTTCTCCAGATAATGAGATATTTTTGCTCATAGTCGTGTCCATATTACTAGAGCTACAAAGATTGAAGTGAAGGATATCTTGCGAGAACTAGAAATTCAGTTTGTGTAGATACTACATTTGTTTGTACTTTTGTTTTTGAAAGTTCTTTATTTTCGTCTTTTTGTTAGGACACGAGAGAGCGAGAGTTACCATCAACGAACAAAAATTAAAAAAAATGAGCAGTAAGAGAAAAAGAAACACAAGAGAGTAATCATCATCATTAGAATGAAAAATAGATAGAGAAAATATTTTTTTTTTATTGTCAGATTGGATGGTGACCGGCGTGTATTAATATAAACAAAAGAAATAAGAAGAGAAAGAAACAAACTGAAGCGCCCAATTACTGCTGTTCTTCAGATTGGTTTACATTGTCGACATAAGATAGATCATTAGTCCACAGCTGTAAAATTCAAACAAAGATGAGTTCTTGTATAAAGAACATCTCAACACATGAATACTCACACTGAGATTATCTCGGAGCAGCTGCATGATAAGCGTGCTGTCTGAAAGTGGATAGAAAAACAATTGGCTCGTCTGTTAGTTATCAATTGATGATCTTTCTTCTTACCTCTGTAAGAATCTTCATCGACAGTATCTAGCTCGGCCAAAGCATCGTCAAAGGCCTATGAAATAGGTATTCGGATAAATAAAGAAAAAAAACACATGCATCAAATCGAACAAACCTGTTTGGCCAAACGACAGGCTACATCTGGTTCATTGAGAATTTCGTAATGAAAAACGGAGAAATTTAGAACAAGGCCAAGTCGAACCGGATGCGTTACTGGCAGTTGATTTTTGGCCACATCGAATCCATCCTTGTAGGCACGTTTCGATTCTTCAGTCATTTCTACGACAAATATCGATGCAAATATTTATTTTTAAGTAGAATTCAATACGTTACTTTGTCGTTCGCCGCCCGTGGCTACTTCAGCCAAATATCGATAATAGTCACCTTTCATCTTCAAATAGAATATATTTGATTCGACTGTTGTCATTTTCGGAATGAGATATTTATCAAGTAAGGTCTAAATTCGTACATCTTTGTCCCAGAATAATCGGTTACTAAGTAAATCTTACCAAAAGCTCGTGGCAAATGTCTTTCAATTCGCTTTCGATCTTTTCGCGATATTCCTTGGCCATTTGTCGCTTACGTTCCGAGTCTTCGACTTTCTGTTCAATGTTTGACATAGATCGCCAAGATAATCGATGAGCGCCGATCGCATTCTTGTAGGCAATCGAGAGCAAATTACGTTCTTCATTCGTCAATTCGCTATTTGATTCAGCGACCCTTTTCATGGCAGCTACCATATCGGTATATCTAAACAAAAATTCACATTACCAGATCGAATAGGTTATGCGAACAGACGCTATACCGTTCGGCATGTTCAGCTAATTTCGCTAGTTCCACTTGTTCATTCCTGTTCATCATCATTTATCTCGATCGTTTGCTCAGTGACACCAGTGACTAGAACAAAAGTAATATGAAAAAAGGTCCTTCACAATTTGGTTCTTCCTATAGGCACAAAATGCAGCATAATATAAGACATTGACTAGGAAAGCGAGAGAGATTAGTAGAAGCGAACCGGTTCGGCTTATTGAACAAGCTCAAAAAAATCTCATTTAAAGTCGAACAATATGAAAGCTCGTCAGTGCCTAGAATACTCAGTCGGTGAAAACGTAGCCCAAGAGCAGAGATATGCTAATGTGAATTAAAAGAAATACGGAGGTATTTATACATTTCTTTCTGCTCTCTTTCTCCTTCATATTTGGTTAATGTTTGTTCGCGCGTAATATCGCGCAGTAGGCAATAACAAAATTTAGGCTAGGTATCGAATAAAACAGAACAATCGCTTGATTAGTCATCTGTATGCACAGAACGAACATCGGACGGCGTACAACAACATGTTGTGTGATGCAGCGTCATTGCTTAGAAATCAGCTACGACAGATTTTATGTTGATGTGTAACAAAAGAGGGCACCAGTGTAACATGTTTCTTGATGAAATATCTTCACGACATATGGTATAACAATTATTGATCACTATTGGATATGTGTGCAGATTGCACAACAAGAATGCAATATCGCAGATTTTTTGGTATTGGATTTCAATCTAATCAATAGAGCTCTTTGAGTTTTTAAATTAAACCAATCGACCAAGGTTCGTAGATACGATTGGGCAACAGTTATTTCCCTACCGTAGTGATTGTTATGGTTTTATGGTTCGTTGAAAACTGTGCGTTTTAAGTTCATTCCTAAACTTTCGCACAAAGAACGATAAAGATGATTTCAGCCCCTATTTAGCAACCAGCCTTATTATTTCTCGAGTGTTTATAATCTTTGAATACAAAACCTCAAATAGTATCTGTTCTAGAACTCCATCAACCATTGCTAGAAACGAAGCGATGTCTTAAAGGTGCAGTAAAATAACCCGTTTTCTTAAATGTTATTTCTTCCATCCTTACAGAATATTTATCAAAAGTTTCAATGTAGAAAAGCATATCAGCAATACAACTGAACAATATCGGCTGTTTGAAATTATTTTTCAGAAACTGCTTGAATAACAAGCGTCTATATGTTATAAACTCGATCGAAGCGTCGTTTAGGTTCGGAAATACCGATCAAAACATCGAAGTCACCGGTACGGACACCGTGAATTTAGTTTTAATTTAAAATTCTACACCTTAGACTATCCAGTCTAGCGAACATGATAATGTAACTCATTGTACTGCAATAAAAAGTTAACGAAGATTCAATCGTTCCAGATTTACAATGTCCAACAACACACCAATGCCAGATATAAATCATGGAAATTCTATGATATATTCGCCTTTGAGTTTGCTCATACAACCACATTGGTTCTTATTCATACGATCCTTTTAGTCTTGCTATTACAACGTCTGTACAATCGATAGTGATTACGAGAACTATTATCGAAAATAAATTCGTTAATCGCTGTTGAAATTTATTTTTTAAACTATGCCATTCCAGATGGTGACACACGATCAGCTGCTCAGGAAAATACCAATCATTCATGGATAAACGATATCGTTTCCATTTATTACAAAATGATTAATTGACTAATTCGAGACATTACCAACAACGATCATCAATCGTCTCTACAAGTTACTGATCGTAACAGAGTACCGAATTTATCATCGATATTTCAATTTAATGGTCTCGATCTCTTGCTTGCATTAATATCGATCGTACATTTTTTCTCGATTTTTATCAAACAAATGTGTTGCAGGTCGAATGTTGAATCATCAAAATGGAAATATTATAATTTAAACGGCTACAACTTATTAAATTATGTATTTCCAAGTGTTTACAACTATAGAGTCTATTACCTTATTAAACCAAAAAGAACAAAAAGTCCAATCAGAATCCGTCTAAAACTAATATCGAAAAATTAGCTGAACACTCGATGAAATAAGGGTGTGGGTATGTATGGATGAAGAGAAGCTCTACACTCACACACCCACACCCACACTCTTTTCCTTACTCGGAGTAACTCTCTCAATAATTTTTATAAAAATATTTCATCTAAAGTAGAACGTAACTCTGGAGGTTTCGAATGTTTCTTCTTCGATTATTCCTATTTGATAGGTAACATGCTGGAGTATGGGTGTTGGGTGTGGATGTGATCACTAAAGCACTTATCGACAACCACACTACATCTCACATCCATTTCCATCCTCGTCCTCGATCATTATTCATTATTGGGATATATTAGCGCTATATGTCTCACTTTTAAAATATTTAGTTTTCCGTTTCAAAGTGTTGTAGAAAATAACCCACCAGTCCAATTATTATAACTAGATAGTAGTGGAAAATTCAACAATGCTTTGTAGTCGATTTAGTTGATATTATTTATGTGACACGTTTTGTTCTTTTTGTCGAATGATTCGTTTCTCACCTTTAGCAAATAACAATAATTTATTTTTCTTATCTACCCCTTTTGTCTCTTTTATCATTTTTAATATCAACATCTTCACCTATGTACTTTATTAACAGTTATTGCATTCGTCAAAATAAAACACTCAAGTTGGCAAATACAAGATGAATGAATGCTACGAAGGAAAAAAGTCACAGCCAAGCAAGAAGTTTCATTTCAAATGGACTACAAAAAAATATTTGCTTCTGTATAATGTGAGCTGTAAGAGTGGGTGTGGATATTGAGGCAAAGTCCTATTACATCCACATCCCAAACTCCGTAATCAATAAAAATAATATGTTGGCAAGTGAAAGAAAGTGCTTCTGATACGAAAAGCGTAAACAAATACTTACATTGCTAATATACCTTTTCTTCTTGATAAGAATAAACGAATAATACGAGACACATACATCAAAATCAACTATTCTTGAAGTAAGAGTATTCATATTTCAGTACACAGTATGTTACTGAAACTGAACAATATCATAAGTTATTTTTTCGTTCATCAGCTTTTCTGAATGTCATTTTTATGATTATACAGATATCACGCTTAGTTTTCGTCCAGTGTGGATGTTCGATAGTATCAACATGTAACCGTATGACCCTTGTCCTCTTGACTGGAAGGAGGACCACATGAAATCAAATGAGTTTGTGGACTTGATTGCAGTGACGTATTCGCATATATATGACTTTTTATAAAGTTTGACCGGATGTAATCGAGGTCGAGAAATCTGAAATTGAGTGGGTGTGGATGTTCGTCTTTTCTTCACCCACACTCACATCCTGAAGACTTAAGTACACAATGTTGTATGTTCCACTGCTGTTTTGATTGTGATACATGTTGAGTAATTTCGGTATCTGATAAGATTTATCAAACGCTCACGGTGTCACTCTCTCGAGTCATAGAACATTTTAGTAGCTTTTTTCGTACTTTTCTCCTATATTGCATCAATCAACTGTGCAATACATTGACAAGAACAATAGATAAGCATAAAAATTTTCAAATACATAAAATCCGACGTTGCTTCTCATGACAAATCTGATTATGACCGCTAATATCTAATTCAATAGGATTCCAGAACGCTATAATGTTTTTTTCGCGTCAGATTTCATATTCGCAATATGATAAAGTGAAGTTTATGAGACATTGAGTGTATTTGACTTAAATGATAATGAAAATAGCAATCAAGCCTATAAAGTTTAGCATAAAAACCATCAACTCATAAAGCTCTATAAACTTCAAGATAATATCCTATGACTTGAAGAGGTTATAAAGCGAACTCGAAATATACGTAGAGTGGTGAGCAAACTAAATAGTGCGTCTTGTAGAACAATCCATTCTGTACAAAATCTTGTAAGTCACTACCCTGAGTCACCGCACTTTCAGAATTCATTTTTCTTTACACTTTGTCGGTCTGTTGCACAATCTTATTGACTGCAACAGAGATCTCAATGGACCAGGCCGACTTGATCTTACGATGAATTCCCATGAACTGAATTTCGAAAAACACAAATTTTTCAGATTATTTTGCATTATTCCAACAAATTTATTATTCGAAACTTCCATGAAATTCTTCCATTGGTTAAAATATTTCTTCATTGAGCAATAAAATGTATAAAGCAAAAGACAAAAAAAGATGCTAATGTTGTCACCTTTAAAAACTTTCTGTATATTGAAAGATATGTTCTTACATATCTGTCCTCATTCATCAACAATTAAAATATCATTGTCAATTGCTTTTTCTATCTGTAATTCTATTTCTGTTGAACTTGTTCAATTATAAATTCTTGTTAATATTTGTTCTTTAAGAATCAATATTGATTCATCGTTACATACAAAACAGTGTGAATCTGAACGAATTAAAGCTAATAGCTCTTTTTCTATGGGTTAAGTTCTGGCAAGATCCCATGAATTTACCTGTTTATAGACAGAAATCTTCCGGGTTCCTTGATTTTTATAATTGTTATGGATGGAATATCTCGTGAATTCATGTGATTTTATATGCAGGAATCTAACTGAAATTTTCATTTATTTTTGTGTTTAAGAAATAGAAAAATATGGGTGCCGGGGGTTCTATTGTTAACAGACGTACCAAAGAACTATGGTCACTCATCAATAATTATGCATTCTATTCCGATTTACTCACTCGCGCACAACAACTGATTATAGATGGTGCTGATATTAAACGACCGAACAAAACTGGCCAATATATGATTCAAGTCGTGACCGAACAAGAAAAGAGAAATCGCCTTGCCAACTTGATGGCTAAAGCTGATATTTGTCAGCGGCTTGTCAACGTACTCAAAATGCAGGCATCAAAGTTGTTTGTCACTGCATTGGACACAGGAGATATTGACGAAATGGAAGTTTTAGTTCAACATTTCGGTGCTGATTGTTTCCAAGGTGATCAATCCTTTGGTTCGCTTGGTTTAGTTGGTCATGCTGTAGAAAAAACAGATTTAAAAATGGAAGTAATAAAATTTCTTGTTGAAAAAGA